GACCTAGGAAAACCAGCTGCTGGTGGTCTGCCAAGCACATGGGAGATCTGGAGGAAGTTCCTGGTTCCTGGCTTCCACGTATTCCAGGCCTGCGCATTGTGGCTGTCCAGGACAAAGCAGCAGCTAACGCAAACTCGCTCTCTCTCTCTCTGTAAGTCAGAGTTTGAAGAAAAAAAAAAAACAAATCTTTTTCTTTTTAAAAAAAAAAAATGTTATTGGAAAGGCAGATTTACAGAGAGGAAGAAAAGGATCTTCCATCAACTGGTTCATTCCCCAAATAGATGCAATGGCAAGAGCCTATGTGAAGCCAGGAGCCAGGAGCTTCTTCCGGGTCTCCCACATGGGTGCAGGGTTCCCACAACTTGGGCCATCCATCCACTACTGCTTCCCCTGGCCACACGCAGGGAGCTGGATGGGAAGCGGAGCAGCGAGGACATTCAAATGGAAGATAAGTCTGTTGAGCTACATGCTGCCCTGTAAATCTTTTTTATTTTTTCTCTTTGTTTTTTGAGAAGTATTGAACTGTTTGGAGATATTTGCATAATATGAGCATGAAAAGTTACCAAAGTCCAATCCCCTTCAAAACTTACTCCAAGGAAGAAAAACAAAGAAATTGCATCTCCGTAGACAGTGAGAGAGTGTCGTCTAAGCCTGCCACCAGCAGCTCCAGCCCACGTTCTGCTGCTGGATGACTTCATTACCAGTCACCGGAACAGCAGCATCAATGTGCGGTGGGAAACTCAGAAACACGGTGCTGAACTCAGCTGAGAATACAAGCGAGAATCCAGGAAAGGACTTGAAGGGATGGGGTACAGCCAATGATGCCCTCAGACAAAGAAAGTGACGAGGAAGTAGAAAATGAAATCAAGAAAGTGATGCAAATGATTCCTAAGAAAATGACAGATGAAAGAAAGGCAACTCGTCTGTCCTTGGAGGCCCCGTGAGCCCGAGCGGAGCGGACTGGCACAGCAGCACTGGGTGTCCCTGAAAGAGAAAACGCCGGAACCTACAACTGCAGGTCCTGGGAGCGTCAACCTGGGAAGCCACTAACACGATACACACTGGATCGATTTCAGAAGTTGAAGCTCAAAAGCAAATTATGCTGGCATCTAGTCCAAACCAGGTCAAGGACGTCAGATCATCCTCAAGTGGCAAGACCATATGCCAGAAGCAAACAGAATGACACGTTTAGGAGACCCTGTGCAGCTCGGATTTCTCACGTCCAGAGAGACGACATTCTTAAAGCGACACAAGAATGGTTACCAAGACACAATCAAGCAGGCACTGTGTCTTGCACGGGACATCGTTCCTGTGGCTCCTTCCTAAAGAAAGTACTCAAAAATACTCCACGACACAGACATCGTAGCAGGTGGAGATATTACTCTGTAAACGTAGTGTCCAGTGGGCCTGGCGCAGTAGCCTGACAGCTAAAGTTCCTGTCTTACATGCACCAGGTTCCTATATGGGTGCCAACTCATGTTCCAGCGGCTGCACTTCCCATCCAGCTCTCTGTTTGTGGCCTGGGAAAGCAGTCAAGGACAGCCCAAAGCCTTGGGACACTGCAGCAGTGTGGGAGATCCGGGAGAAGCTCCTGGTTCCTGGTTTCGGATCGGCACAGCTCCAGCCATCGCTGTCACTTGGGGAGTGAATCATCGGACAGATCTTCCTCTCTGTCTCTCCTCCTGTATATATATCTGACTTTGTAATAAAAACAAATCTTTTTTAAAAAAGACAAAGTTTTTAAAAATCCACATGAGCACATGAGCCATCCAAGTAACGTGTCCTTTTTGTCCTTCAAGCTTAAATAGCTATACAGTTTGAATTGATGTTCCAGGCTCCTAAATTCCCTGTTAAATTGCACGATTCTGGAAATGTCTTCCAAATTCAAAGTTTCAAGCTTCAAGGTGTTCTCTCTGTGGCGCTTGAACAGATAGATTTAACATTTGTTGTCAGAGAGTGGTTTCCTGGTAGTGTTGAGTGTTTTAACTTTATAAACAACCACCAAGAAAAGTTTATTTTCAACTTTTGTTTTTTTAAAGGTGAACCCTATTTGAATGTGTCACTTGTGAACTTTCGAAAGTAATTATAGATATATATTTTACTGACAGAATGAGTACTAATTGCTGGCTCCTTTCACATCTGTAATTGATGACTTTAGATCTAAAGTCTCCAGCTGGACCTTACGTGTTTTGGTTGTTTCAGGCACTTGTCAGCTTCTGTCAGAGCCACGAGGGGGCACTGCAGAGCAGCATAACACTCAGATCCTTGTGCTCGGATCATGCTTTGCTGAAAGAATGCTCAGCCTTGGTTGTGGTGTGTCTGGGTGAGGGTCTTTTTGGGCTGAATCTGTTTGGAGTTCTCTGTCCTTCCTGAATTTGGCTTGCCCTTGTGTCCCCCGAGTCTGGGAAGTTCTCCTTTACAATTTCATTAAACACCTCCAGCAATTCTCATTTTCTTTCCATACCTTCCAGAATTCGACTTTTGGATGGTGTCATTCATTTCTTGTATAGCCGTCTTGGTTTTGATCAGATTTTCTTCCAGGAACTTTATTAGTTGTGTGTTCTCATTTTGGTTTTCTTCTCCAGGTGCTGCTCTTTCCTCTGCAGCAATCATTCTGTTGGTAAAGCTTGATACCATGTTTTTCATTTGCGAAATTTCATGTTGGACCTGCTTAATTTCTGTGATAATGTTATTTTTGAATTCCTTAAGCTCTTCGCAACGCTTCTCACTGGCTCTGAAGAGTTTCATGTTTTTTTTTTTTAAGTATTCCGTATCTGGTAGCTTATATTCCTTATCTGATAGACTTGTTATACGAGAAAGCAACACGCACCCCAGTGTTCATTGCAGCACAATCAACAACCACAAAAACATGGAAACAACCTAAATGCCCATTAACAGAGGACTGGAAATAAAAAACTGTGGTTCATGTACACTATGGACTACTACTTGGCTGTTAAAAAAATGAGATGCAGTATTTAGTGGGCAAGTGAACCAAACTAGAGCTCGTTATGCTCAGGGAAATGAGCCAGTCCCAAAAGGTCAGATATCATAAGTTTGCTCTAATATAAGGTAATATGATGCCAAATCTAGGGATATTGCATGTGAATCTTACTCTATGTCACTTCATACTTGCCTTTACCTTCTGTAATTAGATCTTGTGATGTAATTCATTAATCAACCATCCCTAGGAGATTGATTGTTTATATTCACCTGAGATGGCCAGTGTCCCTTTTTCTAGTCCTCATGCTGACATCGGGGCCCTGGGGTAGGAGAATGGACTCACAACAAAATGACTGACAGTCTGCTACATGGTTGGGAGACACTCCACCGGCAGCGTGATGGGCTTGGGAAAGTTCACGGTAGACGCCCATAGTGAGACTGGAGGGGAAGGAACTTGGGGGAGGGGAAAAGGAGACCCCAGCACCAAATAAACTGTATCCAAAAAGAAGGAATGCTTCAGCCTCACCCAAGAGAAAACATTGAGGGGACAACCACTCTGTCATAGTGGGTCTTATTAGGAAAAAGAACAGCTAAAACATATATCTAAATAACCGTCTAGGGCATCAAACTGATGTCCTTCCTTGTTTGAAGACCTTCCGAAGCTGACTGTGAGATTCTCCACTGTAGTATTTATTCATCTACTGCTGCTACTGTCACTTAGAGTAATTGTTCTTTCTAGCCATGTCCGTTTGTACCCTGGGGTTGTTACGGTGTTTGTTTACAATTGTTTGCAGACTGAGGGTCTGTGGCTTTGCATCTCTGCGATCTAACCTTTAAATCTGGGTCTGTTGTGCTTGAATTGCCACTAGCCCCTGCCTGCATTGTCCCCACCCTCCGTGTATGCACCTGTGTTTCTTCCTCTTGCCCTGCTCGGGATCCAATAGCACAGCACGGATGCAGGTTGCTTGTACCAATTCACTTGCCTACCTGTGTGCCTCCCACTTCATCTGGCACCCACTGTTGCCTTTCCTATGGAAATCTTACCCATCCTTCACAAGCCAACACAGCCTGCACTTCTTACTGAGGTCTCTGTTAACTATGCTGGGCATGCTTTCTCCCCCTGTTCTGCTTCACAAACAGCTTTATGCTTTCCCAACCAGTCTCCAGCACCCTGCCCTCCAGAACTCCTGTGTCCTAACCCTGGGATTAACTCAAGGTGAGAAACCCAAAACTCAGCTCCCTCTTTTGCTTCTGTCTCCAGGGTCCACTACATCGATTCTGAGCCCAGGAAATCTAATTCAGTCTGTCGCTCAAAGCATCCTGCATCCGTTGTGACCTGTTATGTCTACTGTAATGATACTTTCTGCTCAGTGTACTGGCAGCATCCCTCTAGGGACACTCATCTCTGTTCTGTCTCTACTTTCTTCTGCCCACTTGGGCTCCGTGTGCACATGTCATTAGTCTAACTTCTGCCAGCAGCCAGAGCTGAGCTTAATCAAGAAAATCAAGCTGCCCATTTGAGGGTATCTTATGAGATTCTTGTGATTTATATTAAGACTTCTGCATTTCCTTTTTCCTTAGTTCTCTGCTCTGCAGTAATTGTTTCATTACCACTTGGCAGAAACCCTAAGCACCCATCTATTGTGTCCTTACGCCTGAAGACACTGCCGCTCCCACACTTGACACTCAGATTAGACTTGGGTGAGAGCCAAGAACCGGCCGCAGTCACAATGTGGATTAGAGAGTGTTGTGCTCAGCAGCGGCAGGTGAGGGCTCTGGCACGAGTTTCAGCCCTAAGTTCTCCGGAAACAGATCAGCTTGTTCCCATGAAGAATGGTATTCTTACCAGTGAGTCATAACCTGGGTGTCTCCCGCAGTGTCACGTGCAGCCCCACAAGTGTGTTTGTGGTTCTCCCAAATGAAACAGAGAAAAGAACATTAAATAATGGCATCAAGCACGTGAGGACGCTGGTGATGGGATCATGTCATCCATGTACACGTTCGTCAAGTCATGGCTTGTTAGTATCCCCAGACTAAAGCCACGCTCTTATCATTTTCAGCTTCGCAAATCCGTTTTCAGCATCAGGGCAAGGAACCTTCTGGAAAAGGAGACGGCAGTCACTAAAATCTTAAGGTAACACCAGCAAGCGTTGATACGTATTTACACACATAAATGGGGTTATATTAAAAAAAAATTGTCTTAAAAAGTAAACTATATTCCTCAGCCTTACCAAGTACTTCCTGTCAGGAAGCAGATTTGAGTAAGGATGTGTTTATAAAGAATGTCAACATGATGTTACTTTCCGAAAAGTAACTTTCCTCTTTTTATGGATTTAAATGTAAATTGTGAACATCTACAAGAGGTAAAAATGTCAAAGCAGATTTTATCTCTATCTAAAGGAGAAAGCACAATCTAAAAGAAAAATTGTGACAGAGTAAGCTTTTTGTGACATGAGGTTTATTCTTCTAGCCGTAACTTACTAAAAATTTGCCAAGACTACAAAGCAGACCCATCTTACAGTATTGAAGACTTAAGTTCAATGCTACTTCCTGTAATATGCCTTGAAATGAAGAGTTAATGAAGAAAATTAAGCTGCCTTTTGAGAGTATCTTATCAGACTGTTAGGATAGGATATATGGGTATAAAAAGCATACACATTTGGAACATTGAGAGGAAATATTATTACACCAACATGCATAAATGACACAGCTAAGCTGTGGGCGCTCAGGTGGGATGTCTGCCAAGGTGAGCAATGGACAAGATCATCCCAGAGGCCTTCTGGGAAAGTAGAGCAAGTGGAAGGAGCTGGTGTCCCGTCTGCCTGATTCCTGTCTGTGAGTAAACATTCAAGCATTTTTCCCGGAACGTACATGACAGTAACTCGGAAACCTACTGAAATAAAACTAAGTGCATGTAATTTTGAAAATGGCTTTACTTTATGACACTCTGAATTTGCGTGCAAAAGAAAGCTCTTATTTGGTTAAGACTGTCTACTGGGAATTCCCTGCATTGGCTGACAGCCATGCGTGGAGTTGGATATGGGTTGATATAGCTCTTAGAACATGAGAATTAAGATTTCTGGGGCCTGTGTGTTATCACTACAGAATGTGGTAGGGCCAACGCAAAAGGTCACGTTGACATTGTTCACAGTGTGTTGACATTGTTCATGTTGAACAGTCTGCCTCCTCCTTGAGGTCGGCTCTGGTCCCTCCATCAGGATCCTAGGGCGAGCTGTCTCAGGAGGCTGGCCTTGAACACCTTGTGGCACGTCCTGATCCTCAGGGCAGCCGTAGCCACACCACACAAGTCTGTGGCTGGGTGTTTCCGAAGTTCCACCCACACCCTGGGAGGAACCCTCTCCCTCAAAGCAGAAGCCGCTACCCCTGGGGAAGCATGGGGTTCTGAGACTGTGTGGAGAATCCCCTGCTGAGTCAGGATCCAGGGACTGCGCATGCTTTCAGCTCACCTGGAGGTCTCCCAAGCAGAAGCTGAATTCACTAGGAAGGAGCTCCCCTCCCTGCAGATGCTCCCTTAGCCCTGCTCTGCTGCTCCTCCTCTTCCAGGATCCCCTTTCCTTCTCCGCTCCTCTCGCTCACTCAGACACCGTGACATGCAACAAGCTGGACTTCAACAGCTTCTCTGGGTGGCACTCAGCTCATGTCACTTCCTCCTAAGAGGGAGGCCTTCCTAGGCAACACCTAACCATTCAACCAGAAGACAATGTTTTTGTAAAATCTAGAAATTCACCAAGCTCAGCATTCAGCCTTAGAAGCTCTACGTCTTTCTCTGGTCTGAAGGTAGAGCTAACAGAGTAAAATCCCGGTCAGTTAAAAGCCCCAACAAAACATCAGCAACAATATACAATGTTATGGAATTAATTGACATAGTATTGAGTAAACAATATGTTAAAGATAATGCAAGTTCAATTCTTCAAAACACATGGGTTGAGACAGTATCAATGACACATTCAAAAATAAACAAACAAACAAACAAAAATTACAGGTTAAATCAAGGCAAACATGTGGTATCTAACCTTTTGGGATTCGCTCATTTCCCTTAGCATTATAGTTTCCAGTTGGGCCCATTTAGCCACAAAGAACTGCATTTTGTTTTTTTTAATAGCTGAGTAGTATTCCATGGAGAAGGTCTCCCCCAAGAAGCCACCGAACTTATCTGGACAATAAGATGCTGGACTTTATGCTAGGTATATGCTTGCAATGAAGGAATCTCAACTGAACTTGAACTGTGGTTATGCAGCAAGGTGGAAGGGCAGTGCCATCTCACGTTCTTTTAATGGAGAAATCAAGTCAGACTCTTTCTGACACATTCGGTGGTTGGGTTGGACTATGAGGACTAACTGAATGGGTACACAGTGCCATCAGCTTGCATGAAATAGATGCTGGGACTCTGCAGCATTCATCCAAAATTCTGTTCAAGCACATACACTGTCATGCCGGAAATGACACCCTGTGTTAATCTCATGTGGGAATGCTCAGTTGCTTGCCGCATGCACAGAAATAACCTCAAAAACGTAACTTATAATGCACAGGAGGAAAAACAAAAACAATTTGTAAGCAAAATTTTACAGATTTTCTGTTCATTAAACCTCCTGGTGTTAAAAGGGCTGAGACGAAATTCTGGTCAACTTACACATGGGTTCCCCAAGACCCTGTGCCCTTTGAAAGCTCACGTCAAGGAAGGAAGGAAAGGTGTACAAGAAGGGTGTGCAGCCCTGGACCTTCAGCACCTGAGCTGACCTCAGTGCCCACCGAAGCTCGGCAAATGCTGGTGGCACCTGCCATTCTTGACTTCACGGGGATTTTCAGGTTGTCCTAGAATTACTGCTCTTACCTTCTCTGAGAGGTGCCTCACCAGGAAGGGAGACATGAGCTGAATTCCAAGTTGGTGTCTGCCATGCTGTGGAGGCAGAGCCGGAGAAAGCAGATACACTGTCAAGTACCTGAGAGGTGGAAGCTGTCCTGGAATAGTAGGGTCTCAAAAAATGCCCTTCTGAAAGCTAACAAAGGCTTGTGAAAAAGAAAGCAAATCCCAGATGTGTGCTTGGGCAGCTGGGCTGGGTCAACAGGCACAATGCTTGATTCTCACTTCTCCCCCCTTCTCCCTGGGAGACAGGGACGGAGAGTAGGTAGGAATCTCTCATTTCAACGGAAGAGCCTCTAAAACCTGGAGCAACTCACCATCTTCCTCCCGTGACCTTGGTGGAGACTGGCCAGCAAGGTCATGGCCAAACTCATTTGCTCAAGAAGAGAGAGTCTTATCTCAGTGAGAGGCCATCACAGCTGCGGTGTGAATGGTGTCTCCAAAGGGTTGGTGAGGGTGGGTATGTTTCAGCGTTGTGTTTGGTTGTGTTGATGGAAGAGTCTGGGACCATCCAGGAACACAGCAGGGAACAGGTGTGCACTGAGGCCAGTGACCAGGAAGAGGTGGCGACACACCTGTTCCTTCTGCTGCCCTCCCTACCCTCCACCCACTGTGGCTCCACATGTCAGCCTTCAGATGCTCAGAGCCCACCCTGTTTTTCATGGTCCTTTTAGATTTGGGTGATTTCTGAGAAAAGAGGAAAAGATCTGGCGACTTTAGACTGAAGTCTTCACCTCTGAAATTTCCTTTGGTTTTTGTATCCCTTGATGTTTTTGGATGATATATTACTTTTCAAAAGTAAATATCACGATTTTTAGCAACAATGTTATAATCTTTGAGGTTGCTGGGCCCTGATGTGCAGGGACTTGACATGGTGAATTGCAGGCGCATTGATGAGCTGAGTGACCTGTTGTCTCCAGGTGTGGTTGGCACTGGCGCAGGATTCTACATATAGTTCAGATGGATGTGTTGGGGGGAAGTCAAGCATGAGGTTGTCTATCTGGACAAGTAAAGTCCTGGTCATGGAGTTGGAGGAGAGCTTGTGATCTCATGTTCAAAGGGATCCTCTTCCCCCAGTGTCCGTCTCCCAGCTGAAACTTGATCATCCACAGCAGGCCCAGCAGAGTGTGCAGTAGACATCTTGGCAGGCAGGAAGCTCCAGCCTGCAGCGTCTGTTAGAGAAAGCTGTGGGACTCAGAGGAGCCAACCTGTTTCTACATCAGCATTTTGGGAAATAGAGATGAATTCTGATTATATCTGAATACGCCATGATGAAAAAGCAGTAGTGGCTTGTTTGTTACAGTGTGTGCTGCTGTGCAGTCGACTCCCGACTCCCTCGGCACACACAGCCACCTGTGGTGCGAGCCCCAAGACACATTCAAAGAGGATGGCTGGTAAAGGATGTTGCACTCCCTGAATCCTAACCTGCAGCATTGCTATCGGATTGCTGATGTCCGGCTCTGCTCCAGCGGGCTTCTTTTCAACTGCAAAAGACCTTTTTGGTGTATAAGAAATAAAAACAAATGGCAGTGTGCTTTCCAAAGCATCGCTGAAGCTTGCTCTCATTCAAAGCTCTGAAATTGAGAAAAAAAAAATGCATTCAGCTAGGCTGATTGAATAGGGAAATGTCAAAGTGAAATAATGAAATGGTTCACATTATTTTGGAAGAGTTCCATCCTGTTGTGTTTTGCAGGAGGACCTCGTCAACAGGGCACTATCTGCATAGCCTTTCTTGTAGCACTCACTCTGTCCGGCATTTTCATTTCAGTGTTGGGCTTTGTGGTGTCATTGTCTTGGTTGTGTATACTAATAAGTTTTCAAAGATCTAAGACCAGTCTTCAGCTGAGTGCTACTTGCTACAAAACACATCCTCAGTGGAGTGTATAGAACCGACTTTATCCTCATTTTGAAAGAATCCTTTTTATCAACTCTTGATAGAACCTTGTACTGGTACCTCCAAATAATTACAGAAAATGCTATCAAAATGTGTGAGTGTTGGTACAGAAAGATTTTTGAAATCTACTCATGTAGTTTTCTCTTTTTCATGAATTCCTTTGTAGGGATTTCGAAGTTTGCACTATAGTGTTTATCTCCATCCTGTCGTCCATGAGATTTTTGAATTAGCATTGTCTACTACTTGAATTTGTATAAAATCACTACACCTATATTAAACTGTGGCATTTTAAGAGTGTGATGAGCTGGGATTTTGTCCTAAGAGTACCACAAGGCATTCATGCTTTTGCTGAAGCGAC